GACGGAGCTTCTCACGTGAAAGGGGCGGTTGTTTAATTCAGCTGAAAATAATTGAAACTAGGTGCCAAAAGAACATTCACGTAACAACTTTAATGTTAAATAGTTCACAAACTTGATTAAAGGAGTCATTTACATTGCATTATTTGAAGGTTCTTTCCCCATTGCGTCTACGCTGCAGTTGTGCATATAAAATACTTAAAAATGCAATATCATACTATAAAATACTGTTTCTCCTGTTTCTCCTTTGCTGAGTAATAATCATGGAAGACTGTGCAGTACAGAAGGGCCTTCTCGGTCTGCGCCGGGGACAGAGGCAGCAGCTCCGGGAAGGCTTCGCTCACTTTCTTCCAATGGAACAAGCTAAAAGTTCAAAAATTGAGAACTTAAATGTAACACATAACTGGCAAGTAAAGCTCTCCGCCTTCGTGTTCATTCCTAGGCTATACGTTAAGGCTCAGAAAGATTTTTTATACAAAAGCAGAGTACGAAGGTCCTGCAGGGCTGGGGCGCTTCCTCCGGCAGCCCCGGGGGCTCCCCGGCGCGCGGGGCCCGGCGCAGGAAACATGAACAAGGCCAGAACAGTTAGAAATCCCAGTACAAAGCAGATTCTCATTTGTATTTTTAAAGACTCCTCTAATACTAAAAAAGGCGAAGGAATTCCTCAGTCTCCGCGTGGAAGCTGCCCCAGGAGCGAGGGCAGAGCCGCCGCGCGGAGCGGAGCGGCGCGTTAAGGAGCAGCAGCGGTGGCCGAGCAGAACGGAGCCGCCCGGCCTGTCCACACGATCCTTCCCAACGGGCTCCTGCGCGAGGGCGCCCGGGCTCGGCGCCGCCTCCCGCACGCGGCAACAGCAGAGGAGCCATCTGGGGCTGCAGCCTCCCCCCAAGAACTGTGCAGCGTATGGACCTCCAGAAAGATTACATCTGTTTATTAACAGTAAAAATGGATACATTTGTCCTACATTTTGCTTTTAGAAATCTGATCATGTCACAAGCAATACCTGCGTGTACGTGGGTGTATTACAGATGTATATAATTCATTTTAACCAGGCTGTGAAATAATATGTAATCACATCTCTTCTTGTGATTGTACATAATACAGTAATTAAATGATGCCCGTCTACGTCATTCTCTTATTTCTAATCAAAGGAACCTGAAGCGTAACAGTCTTCTTTCCGGCTGATATGGCTCTTTATTTTTGTCACAGGGGAGACTTCCCATCACCAAAGAGGGATAATCTGCCAACCGTGAGAGACTGGATAATACGGATTTTCTTCCCTGGCTGCTCCTGCCTGTTGGCATCAGGAGCGCCGCAGTTCTCGCTCCCACCTGTCTCCGGCTGTCGGGAGCTCCTCCTGCTCCGAGCGCGGCAGGCAGGTCTCCTCCAGGCGAGACGCTACTGCTGTCCCGATTTCTTCTCCTTCTGGAAGCTGAAGCTTGTTCTCCTGCTCAGTTTTCTTTGTTTCTGAGCAAAATACTCTGCTCGGGCTGTGCTTGCTCGCGACTCCAGGATGTAGTTCACCTGCAGAACAGGGCAGGGAAGCGGCCGCAGTGAGGGGGACGCGCCGGTCCCCGCAGCGACGCAGCCGCGGGACGCGCGCCGGGACCGCGCCGCGCCGCGCCGCACTAACGGGTTCCACCAGCTTTCATAAAAATAATTCTGCCATTATGATGTTTGCGTACTCAGCTCGTCTCAGAGTTTCCCTGTGTTTTGGCACATTTTATGTGATGAAAGCATTTTTAAATGATATTTAACAAGCCTGCTATTCCCTAAATTTATTATCTCCAGTACTTTGTGATAATCACATAGATAATTTTAATGGAAGGTTAATGCAAGAATCAAAAAGATAAAAATGCCCTTTGGTCTGCCATTAGCTGGTTAATATGCTGTGGCTTAAAACTTGCACAATTTTATGCACTGTAGAGTGTTTCACTTTCATTGCATATTACAGCTTAAGGCATAAAAATATAGGGAATTTTCATGCTCAATAAAGCCTCAGTCTTTCTCACTTGATCATGTAAAAAGCCTAATTTGAAAAGTCTGATCTCCTAATGCTGATGGAATTGGAAATAGACTGGTAACTTATGCACAAAACCAGAAAATGTTCTACATAAACAACTTGAGAACTTAAGGAAGAAGTACTGTTCAGTAATATTTTTCTCTTGAATATTCATGTTATTCTTAGCAAATCTACCTTTTTAGCCTTCTCTTATGAAGGGTTTCAAGTTTATGCAGTGTTCTGGGTTACAAGGGTTGGTCTGAGCCAAACTAGGGCCCCAACGCGTCGCCGTTGCCACGTCCCCGGAGCCGGGGCCCTACTCACCTTCAGGACTATCTCATTAACAGTAGCAGCATCGGATTCAAAGTAAAGGTGTTTGTAGTCGTGATTGCTTAGATATGTAAGTTTAAATATTGCATGACCTGCGAAGATAAGAAAAACTGTTGAGAATCTCCCCAGGTTTGGGCAGCGCGCGCCTGACAGAAGCGAGCCCAGATGGTGATCTTAGCATACCATCAGCACGACAGAAGGGAGCAATGAAACGCTGACAGGCTTCTCATGTCATTTCAATTTAAGGCAAGTGGTGGCTTACAGGAGCAGCTGAACTCTATTCAATGAAGTTCATTTTCCCATCACATCCCCACTGCAGGAAATGCAAAAATCTATCAAACGCCTAGTTAGCTCCGCTGAGCCCGCGCCGGCGCCGCGCGCACGGACACGACCACCGCGTGGTGCAACAAGCAGCCCGCGTGCAGGACGAGCGTCAGGGTGCAAAGGGAGGGCCACTGAGCCCTGGAATCATCCCCCCCAAGAGCCTCTCCCCAAACAACACCCCAACCCAGCCGGGTGCTTAGGGCAAGGGAAAAGGTCACTGCGATTCTGAGGAGACGCCCCACGACAGAGCGCAGGACCCCGTCACTGCGAGCGGGTCGGCGGGAACCGATGCAGCAGGCGCCGGCCAGCGCGCTGCCGCGGCCGCTCGACGGTGGCACCGGCACCGCCGCAGCTCCGGGAGGGAACGCAGCGAGATCCCGGCTGGCCCGAGCGAGAAACCCTCCTCAGCGACCCCCTCCCTCTACCCCGGCGATCCATCCCTCCTCCCAGCCCGCGCTGCTGACGGGAGCGGAACGCCGCTTCGCTCCCAGCGCTCATTCCGGCACTGCGGAAGCGCCAGGCAGCTCGGGGCGGCAGGGGACGGAGCCCCGGATCCCACGGAGCCGCCGGCATCGCCGGGACCGCGGCCACATCCCGGCCCCTCCGCTGGGCACGGAGCTGCCCCGAGGGCGGGATGGATGGGAAAGAAGCTGAAAGGACTTTTCTGCAGAACGCCCTGTTGAAGCGTTATGTTCATGTGCTTCCCTGGCCACATGGCGCTATTTACTGTGTGCAAAATCAGCTCATGGGAAACGTTAGCGGCACTCTGCTCTGCTCCTGTCCCAGCAGCTGGAATTCACGACTGATTTCCACTTCCAAGGGCACTGCTGTACGCGATGCCCTCTTGCCAATCGAACACCACCGCAACGGTGCCTCAGAGGGAGCAGGACATCCAGGTTTCTGCATGTCCACATAAGAACGTTTGGTACCGAACCAGAGCAGCCCCAGGTTTCCACCGCGCTGATGCCGGACGCCCCCGCAGCGGCTCTCGGCCGGGCTCTCGGCCCGCGGGCGCTGCAGGGACATGCGGGGATGTGGGGACACGCGGGGACACGTGGGGACACGTGGGGACACGCAGGGACATGCAGGGACACGTGGGGACGTGGGGACGCCTCGGCCGCCCTCCTGCCCGGCTGCTCCGCTTGGCCATTCCCGCCTGGAACGGGAGGGAAGGGCTCGTTGTGGCCCCCGGAGCGGGAACGCGCTGCAGCCAGCGATCCTGGACAGAACACGGAGAAGCTTCACAAAGTCCGGGCACTTCAGTTCACAGCGGAAAGCAAAGCTGCGCTTTTTAATCACAGTTACAAACTCTTTTTAGCAGACACCTGTCTAAAAAACACTCCTGCTTGGGAAACAACGGCATTATATGACTTTGCACAATAAAAACTCATGCTTTTCTACCACATCTGCAAGAGCAGAAATGTTTTTTCCTCCTCCCCTGCCCATCCCCCTGAGCCAGCCCTATGAAAAGGCTCTATCTCTTCTGCCATTGCCACCCTTTAAAACTGCACTGCTGAACGAAACCACTAATTAGATGAAGGATGAAAAGAATATTCATGAATTGGACAAAACAGAAAACAAACACAGGGAAATGCAAATTTATGTTAATTTTTCAATATACCTTGATGATTGCTTTGTCATTACAGAGCCATAAGGCAGAAGTCAACAATTAAGAGATATTAGTGCAGTGAATAGCTGGAGAAAAGCCTCTCCAAGAACAAAAGACTCATGGGCATCATTTGACATTGTGGCAGAAGTTGCAACTTCAACAGGACTGAATCTTGACACCTCTTCTCCTAGAAAAATAGACTAGCAAACAGGCTAGGAATTAGGAAAATAAAATAAAACTTACTTAAAACTTTCTGAATTAAATGATGTAATAACTCTTCATCAACCAGTGCTATGTTTAATCTAAGAGCCTGGGGAGGGGGAACTCTGCTATTTTGAATTCCTTCTTCAAAATTCCTGCTTCAAAAGTAATATTGTGACCCAGGAATAGGGACTGGGGGTCCCACAAAAACACAGGAATTGCATCGTCACCGAAACAGGCACCTTCGTCAGCCCCTGCCCAACAAGGAAACCCGCAGCCCTGGCGCTCGCCACCTCCACGCGCGGCCCCGGCGCCCTCGGAGCGGCCGCCTCCATTCCAGGTGTCCTGGAAGCAGAGCTGCAATTAAGAAAGTGCCACGTACGACCAGTTTAATGTCAAATTACGGTAACTATTTTCACATCTGGAATCTTTTTTCAAAGCCTTTCATTTCTTCACTGAATTATTACCGAAGGCAGAAAACTAATAAAGATTTTTTTCAAGAACGGTGAGAACTGAGGTGGAACCCAGGGTTGCCCAAAACCTCTTCAGCAGCAACCTTGTTTTGGAGGGAGATGATAAATAAATCAGGAGGCACTAAGGAGCGTTTCCGCCCGGCGCTCGCCCCCGCGCCGCGCCGGCACCTCATCAATCACGCGGTGTCTGCGCGAGCCGAGCCTTGTAAATGTCAGCTCCACTCAAGCCCAAGGAGAAGCGCATCAAAATGCGCCAAGGAGTTTTAATTGGATAGTGTAATTAAACTAAAAAACCCCAGCAGACTCGCTTTGACAGCAGAGATGAAGACCCCTTTTAATAGGGCTCCGGAACATATTTGTTCTGAGGAGGAGGGAAGGGGCGCGCGCGGCTCCGCGCTGCCGCGCGGCGGCTCCAGGACACGCGTGGGGCCGGGGCC